CAGCAGGAAATCAGAGACGATATTGTTCTTTTGTGCTCATTCCATAAGACTCAGTATTTTCTTCCAATAATTTCTGGGACCCACAAATATGGGAGTAGCTAGGGATAAACAAAGATTTGAACCCATGCCCTCTGACCCCGGCCCAAAAGAGCACTTCTCTGTAACATTTGCCACTTTCTTATTCCTTTCCTTTACCTCCTGCATAACCGTACAACGTGCTACAAGAAACTCGCTGTGCTCGGGCTGTTATTTCTAGACGTGATCCAAAACCAACACCCAGGTTCCAAGTTTGCTGTTTGCATTGCTGCTTGGCTCCCTCCCTCGTTGCTCCACGCCAGAGGAAAGGCACAGGTGAAATTTTAAAGGAAGAACCAATCCTTGGCTCTTCCCCTTCAGCTGTTTTCCTACTGGCTCTAGTGACACAAAATAAACCCGGGCTCATAAACTCCCTGGCTTCTGCAGAGTGCCGAATCAGCCTCCGGCAATGTCATTTTTCCTATGAAAAACCAAATTTAAGAAAGTAACCAGACTTCTTCTTAAGGAGCTGAATGGATAAACCTGGACTGATGGGTTCCACATCTTGTCCAAGCCAAACTGACTCACCCAGCCCAGGATGCACGGTGCAATCCAATGAGGAGAAAAGCGTGAATCACACAAATCTGTAATGAGTCATTGTGCCGATGGCTGGGTCACCTGGTGCAAAAGCCGTTATGCCAAGAGAGGTCACTGGGTGAAAGCATGACAGGATTCGTCCTTGTGAAATCTCCCTTTGGGAGATACCTCTGACCATCTTCTTCCCATGATCTACTTAACAGAGCAATAGTGACACGTTCAGAAGATTTCATTAAAAATAAAAATTATAGCTTGCCTCGCAAGGCAGGGTAGGAAGTGAGTGGGTAGGAAGTTTATAAGCTTCCTAAATGACTCTAGCTGGAGGGTTGATTGCAGTGATTTCAACATCCTGCCTTGAATCTCCAGATTTGCAGAGCCAGGTGTTCATTTCACGTCTGGCTCTGCTTAGCCCTCCACCTTGAATTAGAAAACTGGAGAAATTCCTCCAGGGAACAGGGGTAGTCCACACAGCTGAGGGCTGTTGTTGGCATCTGTGTTTGGAGAAACTTCAGGTGAAACTGCAATCCTAATTTAGGGTCCTCAGGCATCTAAGAGAGGCCTGGAATTGGGAAAACTGGATTTGGACTTTGAATTCTAATATAGTAATGGGAATAATATTGAGAATTCCTGAAAACAGCTCTTTATACAGTCCACTGCTTAGGACCAAGTGGAGCAAAAGATGACACTGAGCTGAGTCTATATCTCCTATAAGAGACAGGAAGACTCTTCCTAAGAAGAGTCCCATAGGGATGGATCCCCCAGAGTTGTATGGGGGTGTGGGCCCACAGCCTGTTCCCACCGGCGGTTCCTTGTCATCTCTGATTTCTTCCTCATCCCAAAGCTGGTCCCAATTTACAGGAATAAATATCATTCATCACATGCCATTCCTGTAAAGAAGCCATTTTCCAGTATAAGCAGTTGCATACTAGAATAACTGCTGTACACTGGAAAAGCACCGATTGCTCCAGAAGAAAGCTTTTTAGTAACACATCTGAAAGGAAAACTACTAAAGACAGATCTCCTGAAATAGGGTTTTGGCAGGAGCTTCTCCTGTATACTGCTCTATGTAGACAGTCGTTCTTCTGAGAGCTGCAGAGCCAGTCCTGACTTGGAGACACTGCTGCTGCTGTACACCGCAGCAGGAGAGTTCACAGACCCTGAAGGCAGAAGACACAGAAATGGGGTGAAACTCCACTGGCCCAAAGTGTGAGTCAGGAGCAGTGACAAGAACTTTTCCTACCAGGTGAGGACATGCCCAGGAATGAGGAGTGTGCCTGCTGTCCAACCCTGCACAGATGTCCCTGGGCACAGAAATGATCACTTTAGGAGAAAAAAAACCACCTAGATGTCATTTTAGATGTCTACTCCATGTGATCATTT